TATACCATATCATTTTTTACAATTTTTCATCCTTTGGATCACCACTCTACAGTGAATTAGATAATTTAATTTCTACTGGAATAAACAAGGGCTTGAGCAAGAAATCCACGAAATATGAACAAGAGACTAAAGGCCCATATTAAGAGTCCACAGAAGATTTAAAGAGGAATGGGCTCAATGCTGTAATTTTATTTTTTTATGGATGCTTAATGCTCTATTAGTATTACTGTGATACTGACTCTGTTCCTTGAATTTTAAATTTTCGAATTTGATCTGATGGTCCAAACCTTAAGATTTTATCAACTAAACAAAGTAGGCAAGTGTCTTATTATATAAGAGATAGTAATTAAGAAAAGTTAATTTTTTAACTATAGTAGGTAAATATGAAAATATGCATTTAAAATAATTCAAAAAAAAACTTAATTTTAAAATACGTGTAAGCTGATCTAAATACACTTTAACTATGCTAAGGAAAAGATGGAACTAATAAGGTAGATTTAGCTAAGTGAGTGCAAGGTTCCAACTCATTTGTAACCATAAGAGTGGAATTATTTAATTTATTGGATCAACAGCATGAAGGCACATCACTACATCAGGAGATGTGCTCAAAATGACTAACTATAGCCATTTTTCAAGCTTTTATTTTTCCACACATATCGCTATTCGTATAGCCTTCTGGGTATCTGCTTTCAAGGGCAGAATATAACCTTATAATTAGTTCCATTTGGACAGGTGAACACACTGGTTTGATCATCTTTAGGATAGCTGTAAACATCTGGACACCTTGTCTTAAAAAATCTAGAGTAGTTTGTCGGTCCACATTTACCGGAATTGCAACAGTGTTCCTCTGTCTTGAACACTGGACATGGTCCATTGCAGCCTCCTGGTACCCTCAATGGGCCCGGACACTGTCCCACGATGTCTGCAGTACACTTGATCACGCGATTGCACTGGGGAGAGTTGGAGCTGAATTCCATGGGAACATTAAACCCGTCGATGTTGGACATGTCAATGAAGTCTAGGTTGTTAAACTGGCCAAGGGCGTACTCAGCCAGTGTGTTGGGTGGAGATCCATAGGCTTTGCATTCTAGGAGTCCTTGGCAATCTCCTGTCTGGCATTTGCCTCTTCCAGAGCCATCAAACTGGCAATTGGTTCGAGCCCAAATGCGAGCTTGTGTTGTGCCAGTGGCCACATTGATCTGCCAGGTTTCACCACGGTTGAGACGCCTGCCACCGCCAGGGACTGCGGCAGCCCAGACAGTGTAAGGGCAGTTGTTTCGGATGTTGAAAGTGGCGGCATGGGTCATGGTAAGTATGCAGAGAAGAGAAAAGAGGAAGGAAAAAACTGAGATGTAGCTCATTTTGGTAGGCTTTTGCTTGGTTAATTTTGTGGTGTGGTTTATGAGGAAACACAGTTGAGGTGTTTATATAGAGATGACGGGTTTGAGATTGCGTCATGGTAAAATTTAATTTTGTTGAATTTTTAAAATGAACGATTGCTATATAATTTTTGATTGACTGTGAATAAAAGATTGACATTTTTGAAATATGATCCCAGAGTACATTAATTACATGTCAATATTTTCTGCAAAAAAAGACTTTAACCCTTGATTTACTCTCCTCCACTATATTTTGTTTGAAAGATTTTATTTTAGTGACAAATTTGTTTTACAATATACTCCCTTCAGACATAACAACAATGGTACCACGAGGAACTCCACCACGCGGCCCACTGGTTGGGCCGCGCTCCTCCTCTGGGGAGCAAAGTGAAGATCACCCACATGACTCATACAACATATATTAGAACATATATTAATACTAACAGTTAATTATTTTTTATGTAAAAAAAAAAAAAACAATGGTATCATGAGAGTGGGTGAATGAATTGGTAGAGAATTCTTTTATGTTAATTAGAGATTTTGGTTTCAAGTTCTGACAATGCAGTTTCGTTAAAACTCATAAGGATGAGTTTTACCGTCCATTTAGTCTTACCCGGTTCAAATCCGGATTAGTCGATGGTTCAATAAGTTTTCAGATATTGGGTGATTTAAACCAAAAAAAAAAAAAAAACAATGGTTTTTTAATATAAAATTAATCTCAAATTAATAATTATTTTTTTATATTTCAAGAAAGATGAACAGTATTATTTTTTTATTATTTTAATAATTCGTTATATCACTTTGATTATTTATCTTATCAAAATATAAGTTATTCTTTATTTTTATCTCTTTCTTGAAAGTAATATAAATAAAAATAAAAGACATATGAAGTAAGGGAGTGATATAGAAAGAATTTTTTTATAACTTTTTATATGATTTTTTATAAGATATTAAATAAGTAAATACATTTAATATTATAAGTTTTAAATTACTAACAATATTAATTATTTAAATTATACATAAAATTATACTAAAAACTAGTATAAAAAGATTATTTTAAAACTTTTGGTTCGACTTGTAAAAAAAACAAAAATACTAGTAAAATGATTTTTGTACCTTTACTAAATAAATGAATTCATACCATCAATTATGTGAGCTAGTATTATAAATTCAAAGTTCAATTCATAGTCACTAGTCTACATATCAAATAATAATAATAACAAAAGAATTCAATTAATTTAATACTAAATATTTTTATTTCTCTTGAATGTTGATATGAAAATTATTTTTTATATAACAGAAAGTAGAATATTTTAAGTTTCTAGAATTAGATTTGAAAAGTTTTTATTTATTTATTATTAAAAAAAAT